GGCAAAACAGAGCCCCTCGTAATATGATTTTTATCTTATGCGGTATTGAACAAGATTATTAAAAAGCGAAATAATGGGGAAATAAAGGGAATTAAATTTTCTCCTGACAGCAGGCTCCGGTACTGTTCAGCGAGGAGCGTGACGTTACCGGCAGCACACGCCGGGAGGTGCTGAGGAAGAGGAGAAGGAAAGGTGCTGAGAGCGTCTCAGTCTAGTGAGCGTGAGCCCCCGGCGTCCTCCAAAGAGGGGAGTTAATGTACCTTGCAAATTTTCAGACCCTCTTAAAATGGACATTTATAGCGCAAACTTCAGACTGGTAGAAGAGGAAAAAAAGATATACGCAGCTCACCTTTATCATAATTATTAATTTACTCCCTTAATAAAATGTGGCAGAGAAATAATTGATAATAATGTTTCGCTGGTAGCTGATACGGTTACACTGTTCCTTAACTGACATTAGCTGAAGGGAAAGTTAAATTCTTAATGTGGCTCTAGAGCAATTTGAAAGGTTAAATCACAGGATCCTGACCTGCATGAAAGGTTTTGCAGAAAATACAGAGCGGAATTCACTTTAGAGTGCTCTGCTGTGAGGACAGCACTTACGCAGTTCGGGAGCTCAGTGCAGGCTCGAATGATTTACAGCCTTATCTCTATTCAGGTGCCATCTACAGAGCATATGTATTGCACAGTATTTGATAAGAATCCAGTTTAGAAAATAGTTTTGAAAGGATATTGTCACTACTACTTTTAAATTATTTTTATTTTATTTTCCTGCATTATGGGCGATATTCTCTTTGAGGCTATAAAAATCCAGCTAGTTGACAATTTTATTTCTGCCATATTTCTAATACAGCAAAACCATCGTGGCTCCCTTTGGTTTACAGCTGTAAGTGGGAAACCCAAGTGGATTTTACTCCCCATGGAAGATCATACACAATTTGTGATAAGATACTGCACCGCATTATATTATGCTGGTTACTATGACAAGGATTTGAATTTCTTCTTAAAAGCATGCAAGACTAGAATTTTCCCAGAAGCTCCTTCACCGCAATTTTTACTATAATCACAAAGTTCTTGATCAAATGTGTTAATGCTTTCAGGCCATCAGTCAGCAGCAGTGCTTTCAGTGCACACGATTAATGCTGTCTGTACTAATATCATTAAGGGATAGCTCGAGAGATGTATATATCATTAATTAGTTAACTGCTGATAATGGCAGCCTAAGAGCCTCCCTTGTAAAATCACAGGGACATACTAAAAACAGGGCTCTGAATAACCACTGTTCTTTAATAATGAATTTAAAATATAGAGAGTAGGATAAATTTTCAGGATATACTCTCTACTAAGATACTACCAACTTAGATCTCTCACAGGTACATACTCATGACGTAGCCGTTTTATGCGAGCATATATTAATACAATAACCTTCTTCCATCCCTATAAAGGCCACAAATTTATTTATTCTCAAATACCCTTTTATAAAGACTGCATTTTTCTTTCCTCCTAGTGACCATCAATGCAGGACTGGAAAGAAGCTCTCTCAGGAATCAATGCACAGTTCTTCCAGCCCAACATCTGTGACCAGCTGCAGCACTATTAACTAATAACCCAAAGCCAGCTCCCAAACTCACATTTCTCATTTGATAAGGCAAGTTATCAGTGATACACCAGGGCCTCAGTAATTAATCTATAGGAGAATATAGCAATGATTTCGTGACAGCTGGTGAATATTCAGGGTTTGGGGTTGTTTTTTTGTTTAGGGAGGGTTTTTTTGAGATGTATCTGCTTGAGCTAGCATCAAATAAAGCTATGAAAAAGCTGCCATGAAGTCCTTTTGCATAACCTTCACAATGCTGGATCAACGCTGCCTCTATGCTATTTATGGAGAATTATAAAAGACACGGTCATCTTTGAAATAAAGGAAAACATGAGTCAGCAGCCTGCTCCAAGTTACCTTTTTTCTCCATTCGTTTCATATCCATCAGCTTCTCCACGTTGTTGGGATCGTTCAGCCACAGCTGCATGCGGACGAAGGGTTCCCGTCCCTTCAAACTCAGCTTGTGCCAGGGCTTCGGGCGAGCCAGCAGGTCTGAGACAGAGCCTTGTGTTAGCCCTAGGATTGTCTCCCCGAACAAACGCTGACCTAATACGAAATTGAAAATTGCATGAATACATTCAGCTAAGAGATGAGGCTAACTAAAAACACAGAACACATCTACAAGATCATTCGTCAATTATTCTTATTTCAGAATTACTTGAAAGCCCAAAAGAAACATTTAGAAGAATAAAAGCTTCCCCCCCACCTCTAACAGTGTAAATATTGAGCTTTAGTTTAATCCTTGGGGTCTGACTGCGGCAGAGAGGGGAGCTCAACACCTTTGGGGGCTGGCATCTTACAGTGAAACTGTGTATGAAAACCAAAATCAATGAGATTGAAAGTAAACTGGACTTTTAGCTAAGCAGGCAACTAGTGAGAGCAATGGGGCTACTTAGCTCTTAAGCAGGAGAGTAGTGCAACAACTTTGTTCTAACAGGGCAATCCAAACATTTCAAGCAATCAATGATCCAAGACCAATGCAACTCCCCGCTCAGCAACGGCCATACAAACGTCCTCAAAGACACGTGTGCGTATTTTCGGTGTCGTACTATTTGTGGTGTCCTAACTGTGTTTTACCAACTGCAGATAATCATAGAATCATAGAATCATAGAATGGTTAGGGCTGGAAGGGATCTTCAAAGGCCATCTAGTCCAACCCCCCTGCAAGGAACAGGGATATCTCCAACTAGATCAGGTTGCTCAGGGCCTCATCCAACCTGGCCTTGAACGTCTCCAGGGATGGAGCATCCACCACCTCTCTGGGCAACCTGTTCCAGTCTTCTACAACTCTCATGGTAAAAAATTTTTTCCTAATATCCAACCTGAATCTACCTCCCTCTATTTTAAAACCATTACCCCTTGTCCTATCACAACAGGCCCTCCTGAACAGCCTCTCCCCATCTTTCCTGTAGGCCCCCTTGAGGTACTGGAATAATAGAACAGCCTTTCCAGTTTTTTACAGCCTCTGCAGTACTTCTAGTTAAGAATGCTTAATTTTAGTTCTTTTTAAATGCTATCGTTTAGCAGGGTAAAAACTGCACGTGGTTTTCAATATAGAGCATTTGTGTGCGCATTAGGAACACCAGTTTTACACGGTTAAGATCTAACTTAGCAAGAACTGCAGAAAATGCCTGTGCAGCTCAAACCCAACCATACAGCTGGTTTCCTAAAACCCTTCACTTCAGTGTTCTTCCTAAGCTAAACTGCCTTGATATGCAACAGCTTTTGTTACAAGACAGAGCCTGAAGTCATCTGAGTCATCGCTGGTGATGTCTGATGGAAGCGAAGCTACCATGGATTTTCAAGGTAACCCAAAGATCTCTCCATACCAACCAAGTTTAGGCCTCAGGGTCTCATGTCTGATCCATAGCTTTTGAATGCCCTCACCAACGCAAAGCAGAATCATTTCCTTCATTCCCTAGCAATGCCAGCAGTCTTAGCCAGTGGCAACAAACTGATCCCTAAGGGACAATGCAGATGTGTGGGGGCTTGTGCTCCTACAGCTCTGCAGGACATGCCCGCACTTGTGAAAGCACCGTCAGCTCTTGCCTTCACAGCCTCATCTGGTCCTGTCACAAATAGGTTGTGGAAAATGTCTGCTCCACAAACCCCGCTGGTGTGCTTAATTCCATTAATCTCCTCCTCCCTCTTTAAAAAACACCCCCAAAACCTTTGACCTGGTCATTTTTTTCACCTGTATGGGGAGAGGAGGGAATGTGGGACCAGTTAGAAGCCGCGGAATGCCCTCGCATGGGGCAGGTGGGTCTGCAAAGCTTTTGCAGGAAGCAGCCGGGACAAGAAAAGGCAGAAAGGGGAAAGGAGGACAGGGCTAAAGTGACACAGTCTGCTAATAAGCTCTAAAACTAACCCTGAAAATGGTTCTTACAGACTGAATAGAAACCCACATTCGGAATTCACTTAAGTTCCTAAGTAATAAGTAATTTTCCACTACCCTCAATATCAGGAAAATTAGACAAAAGAAGCAATTCAGGGCCAATTTTTGATCATGCGTATTGCAGAGTCACCCTATTCCCTGTTTGTCTTTGCATTTAAAGCCAGCAGGAAGGCTTCACCCATTTACCTTTAAACCTGTCAGCTACTAGAAAGAGGCGACAGCCACTTGAAAAATCATTTAATTTGCCTTCGTAAATAACTGTCCCTTAACGCTCCCCCCCGTTTCCCACCCCGGGCTGTGCCTCGGCTCCAACGCCATGAGCGCTTCTTCCAGCGGCTG